GCACTTTGACATAGAATACAAAATATCTCGTAAAATATTCTTCTTTCGGTTATCTTGTCTTAATGCTTTTTTGCACAGAATAATGAGACAAATTAATTGGCTTAAAAAAAGCACAAAAAAATTTTTATATATTTATGTAAAAAATTTTTTGTTTTTTTGTTTTTTTTCCAAATAATATTGATGATGCAACGGAAGGAAGGGAAAATATTAATTTACACAGTGTACATCCAAATAATGTTGATGATGCAGAACGAAGGATTTCGTAGAGCACCTAAAGCCATAGCTCAACGAATTCAAAAACAAATTATGCGGGAATGATTTCCGAACTATCGTTGTGCATGAGATGAAAGAAATTTCACGCACATTGATGGATGATATAAACTTTTTTTATTTATAATAATAAACATTTTTAAACATTTTATAAAATTATTATACTCCGAAATAAAAAAAATTAAACTTGAAAAAATTTATGTGTCATTATTCCTTAAACGTTTATATATAAGTTCCAATAGTTTTGTTTGTCGCTCTTCATTATTTACCATCCTATGAATAGCATTACTTATTTCTTCTGTACTTTTGGCTTGCAATTGCATTGCTTCCACTAACATTTGTAAAGACAACATTAGATAAGACGAAAAAAATTTTAATGTATTTTATATAAATTCACAAATTCACCAACCTTCATTGCTTCAGCATGCTGCTGAGCAATTGCCTCGAAAGATTCTCGAGCATTATATAATTGTGTTCCTAGACGTTCTGAATTTTCGCTTGCATATATAAAAAAAACGAGAGTAATGTATTATTGAAATCATATAATGAATTTACTTATCAGAATTTTAATGTTATAATATACATACTCCTTTTTCGTTTTCTTGTTCTGAAAATATATATTGCTGTATTTTCTGAAAATGTAATAAAAAGTTAATAATATTCAAAATATAAAATTATATTGAATTAAAAAAAAAATTTTTTTACACTGGAAAGCAAAACAGTTTTTCTCTTTCTGATGCATTATGGAATATCATTCATTCATGACATATCTTCAATGAAAGAATTTCCTTTCTATTGATATATTTTTTGTTATATTTTTTGTTTCGGTTGACATTTTGTAATGCATCAAAAAGAAAAATATTTTAACCGTTTTGTTTATAAATATCTGTCAAGCATTACAAATGATTCGAACACGTAAAGAAAAACTTGGATTGATCTACATAATATTTCGAAATATTTATAACATGAAGCGAATCATAGCATAACCTCCAATGTAAATATTTTGATTTTATGCTAGCAGATAATACCTTGTGATGTTAATGATATACATGATGGATCATCTACTGTTAAGTTTTCATCTATAGGATTAATATTTTCTTCGTTTTCATAGATATAATCTGTTACTTGTTCAATTTCTTCATTTGTGGTGACTAAACAATACAATTTCCTTATATTACAATATATACATAAAACATGTAAAGTTTTGCATATAAAAACAATGTACCAATTGAAACATCTTGTAATTCTGGAATTACTATTGGAGCTGGAGCATTATCTAATATTGCTGTATTTCCTGCTGATAATTCCTCAATATCATTCTACAAGTATAAAAAAAATTATATTGTTTAATATAAATTTGATGGTATGTGTGCGCATATGTGTAAATGAAGTGGAAAAATAAAAATAATGTTTCACTTTTTACTTACGTTGTGCTCTTCAGGAAAACTGTCAGGTATATCTGGTAATCCTTGAACGTATTCATGCCCAATGACGCCTAATATTCTTTTATCTAAATCTATAAGTTATTGTGATATTAACTGATTTATTTTCAATACTGGCTCTTTTTTTTCCTTAATTTTTGTATCTTTTCAGATACCTTTGATTTATGATCTCGCCATGTCTACAAAAATATTAAAATAATATTTTCCACACAATTGTGGTGAAAGTAATAAATATGTTTTGTTTCTAAATTAAGCCATATTCTTTATGGTTTTGAATCTAACATTTTATGAATATTTCGTTCTACTTCATCAGGATAAAGAGCAATCTGATGCTAATATCAGGTACTAATATCAGATCATTTCTCATCCTGATAAAGTGGACTTGAATGTTCGCAACATATTATATTCAAAATTATGGAAAACGTAGCTTTAAAGAAAAAGCTAAACTTAGAAAAAAATATAAAAAAATTGAATATAATATATTTAAAAGTATATTATTAATTATATATATTTACAATCTTCCAGAATTTTTCACGTCTTTTGCTTTCCCGTTTGGCATCATTGAATTTAACAATTAAGCTAATTCTTCCCAGTTTCCTTGCAAACGTTCTTTAGCATTCATCGTCGTAAATTTGCCTTGTGCTACGTGTGGATTCTTTTCCAGATAGCTTATCATAGCTTCAATTTGTTGATGAGTAGCTCTTCCCTGACGATGTCTTGAACTTTCACTGAAAATGTATTAATATAGTCATATATTTTTTCAATCTTTTATATATTGATTAAACATACAGTTATTATATATATATACATACACACACACACAAATATATGACATCTGTTTGATATTAACTGTATTGGTATATCCACATATATCCACATATATAATAAGTATTTTGCTAACAACATGTATGAACATAATCTAAAACATGATCTGTAAACATTATATTAAAAAAAATGTTATGTATGTTTCAAAGATTAATATTATATATACAATTACATTTTTTCATTATGATACTTGTATCACGTTTTATTAGATTATGTCGATATACTTTGATGACAAATTACGATTTTAATATAAGCTCATATAGTTGATGCCAAATTAATGTTTGATTTCTTCTTGTGTATTATTTATTTTACATATACTTACTTTGACATATTTTGGTTAACTGTCACATATAATTGTTGACACAGCCAATATTTGTATTTAGTGTTCCTAAACTTACTGAAAAAGATACACAAGGAAAAGAGATTTGATTGGCTGAACACTGCAGCAGTGAAATTATATTAAACTGAATATACTCGTTTCGATAACGACGTCGATATCACATTTTGTATCGATACGGTATCGCTAACTTGAGTTACAGAATAGCTTTTTCATTACAACGTCGTTAGCGCAAGCGACGATCGTCGCTACATAACGATAACGATGTTGTCGTTAGAAAATTAGAGAATAGGCCTACAGAGATTGTGTTGCATTCGAATGTGAATGCAGATTGTGTAATAAAGTATTAAGAAAGGAAATGGAAGGCGCGCGCGTAGCGCGCACTATATACTATCCAAATAGTAAAAAGGAGATGTCACGTTCCGAAGTTGCTTGGTTATCGATATTATCGCTGGCATTGGGTGCGTTCAGCGAACTCAACAGTTGCACAACAGTTGAGCAATTCGTCAATGTAATTGGTCTAAAGTTAGAGATCTAACAGTAAGGACCAATAATCACTAACCGCTCACTGATCAGCTATGTTTTCTGAACGTAACCATTGTTGCCTCTTTTCGGTGATTGGCTGTGCGTTGCGGCCGGCTTCGTGTCGCGCCGGACAGTCATCATGGCGGAGTCGAGTGACAGTTCGTACATATTACGAGAACGGGGTTATAACAAGGGAGAATAGAAGAGAATAAGAAAATAGGAGAGAATAGTACAGAATGAGAAAGAATAAAAAAGAATTAAAGAAAATAAGAGAGAATGGGAGAGAATAAAGGAGCATGAAAACATTTAGCCGTATTAAAATTCGTCTAATAATTATGTATATGAGACTATAATAATAATTATGTATATGAGACTATGTATATTACGTCTATGGTCTCTTTCTACATGTTGGTTTCACTTCTCTGGCCGTTTACGAGGTCCATATATACTACGTCCATTAGGGTAGTCCTTATTTTTCAACTTTCAAATTTTTTCTGCGGCATCCTCCAAAAAGTTTCCATTTGATAAAAAAGAAATCCCTTCCAAACTTTTGCTCGATCGGATAACAAGAATTCGTGCTCCCGGGTCGTTAAACATTGGAATACTCTTGTATTAAGCTGTTTACATTATCAATATGATTTCTAAAGCGTGTTCTTCACAAAAATCACCCTAGAAGAGTTTTCTTTTTTCATTCTACATCATTTGAGATCTTATAGTCCCATTTAAACAATTAGATAAATTGTTGATGACTAAAAAAAAATAAATAGTTATTGCATTTATTGTTTAAACTACAACAAATCATGTACGGACTATAAAAAGACCATTTAAAGTTGCAATAGTATGTTTGGAGGACAATATAAGTATAAAACATAATATTTTTCATGTTTTTATTAATAAAGAAATTTTTTAAATTAAATATTACATAATAATTAATAATCTCGTGGCTCGTAATCTTATGGCTCCTGCACACAGGACGCGGTAATACTTGCCGCGCGGCGGAAGTCCGCGCGACAGCCAATCAATATGTTGTTTTTCCGTAAGAGCTAGAAGGTTATTACGGAAAGCAGCATATTAATTGGCTGTCGCGTGAACTTCCGCTGCGTGGCAAGCATTACCGCGTCCTGTGTGCAGGAGCCATTATACTGGGAGGGGACCATAGATGTATAATACCTAGTCCGCGAGTTTTTCCATTGTCTGTACGCATCAAACAATATAAAGAAATAGCATTCTTTCGGTAAAAAGTCTGTCTTTTTCTAACGAAGGCTGTTTTATTCCCACCACTTATCGTGGTTTTGTGGCGGGAATAAAGCAGGCTTTGTTAGAAAGAAATAGACTTTTTACCAAAAGAATGCTATTTCTTTATATTGTTTGATGTGTTCAGACAATGGGAAACGTTGCGAATCCGCAGCCTAGGTATTATACAGTTTGTTTGATAAAAGCGTGTCTGGCAGAACTTTTACATATAAACGGGTAGAAGGAAAATTCACATTTGCATATCTTTACAAACCACTTAAACGCTAGCAAAATAGTCAAAATTTATGAGAAGGCTTTATTATTATTTGCTCAGACATAGTTTATAAGGAAAAACGAAAAATGGATACTACAAAAGGACAATGATCCTAAACATCAAAGTCGGCTTTGTACCGCGTGGAAATAAGAAAATAATGTTGAATTACTGGATTGGCCGTCACAGTCATCGGATGCAAATCCTATCGAAAATGTTTGGTCCTTAATGAAGTTTAAACTTCGTGGAAAGAAAATTTGATCGGTCAAGGAATTAGTACGATAAATTCGGTTGATATGGAGATTTTTACTTCAAGAATATGCTATAAAATTAGTTGAAAGTATGCCTTGGAGATACCAGGCAACTATTAAGGCGATTGAACAAGTTATTAATAATAAAATCACAGTTCTAATTAAGTAGTATGTGTGTATTTTTTATTTCAAATCATTTCAATAAATTATTTATCAAGTTTTGCCGTACACGCTCTTATCAAACAAACTGTACATCTATGGTCCTCTCCTAGCATAAGATTAGGAGCCACGAAATTATTAATTATTATGTAATATTTAATTTAAAAAGTTTCTTTATTAATAAAAACATGAAAAATATCATGTTTTACATTTATATTGTCCTCCAAACATAATATTGCAACTTTTGTAGTTCATACATGATTTGTTGTAGCTCAAACAATAAATACAATAACTATTTATTTTTATTTTTTAGTCATCAACAATTTATCTAATTGTTGAAATAAGACTATAAGATCTCAAATGATGTAGAAAGAAAAAAGGAAAGTCCTCTAGGGCGATTTTTCTGGAAAATGCGCTTTAAAAACCATATTGAAAACGCAGACAGCTTAATATAAAGGTACTCCAATGTTTAACGATCCAAGGGCACGGGTTCTCGTTATTCAATCGAGCAAAAGTTTGGCAGGGATTTCTTTTTTGTCAAATGAAAACTTTTTGGAGGATGCCGCGGGAAAAATTCGAAAAAAAAATTTTGACCAAGAGTGCATGTGAATGCAGATTACAGATTTGTGTGTGAGAGACAGGGAGAGACAGGGAAAGACAGGAGAGGCAGGGAGAAACAGGCAGAGACGGAAAGACAGGGAGAGATAAGGAGAGACAGAAAGAGACAGGGAGAAACAGAAAGAGACGGGGAGAGACAGGGAAAAACAGGGAGAGACAGAAAGAGACAGGAAGAGGCAGGGAGAGACAGGGAGAAACAATGCAGATTATAGGAAGAGACAGGGAGAGACAAGGAAAGACAGGGAGAGACAGAGAGAGATAGGGAGAGACAGGAAGAGATAGGGAAAGAGGGAGAGGCAGGGAGAGACGGGGATAGACAGGGAAAGACAGGGAAAGGCAGGGAGAGACAGGAAGAGATGGGGAAAGACAGGGAAAAATAGAGAGAGACAGAGATAGACAGGGAGAAACAGAGAGAGACAAGGAAAAATAGAGAGAGACAGAGATAGACAGGGAGAGGCAGGAAGAGACAGGGAAAAATAGAGAGAGACAGAGATAGACAGAGAGAAACAGGGAGAGACAGGGAGAGACAGGAAGAGACAGGAGAGGTACAGAGAGACAGGGAGAGACTGGGAGAGACAATGCAGATTATAGGTTTGTGTATGAGTTTTTTGCGATGTAATTAAAGTGTAATGAAATATTAAGAACGGAGATGGAAGGCGCACGCGTAGCGCACGCTGTGTGCTAGTCCCATTAATGAATGGAAGATGAAACGCTATGAATTTGCCCGTCTATCGAAATTATCGAAGAGGTGAAGTTTTTTTTTTGCGATGCCGATTGGCTGTTCGCAGGCGGCTAGATTCGCGCCGCATGTAGCTGTCAGTCGCAGCGGTGACAGATCAGAGGTTGTGTTGTACTCGAATGTGAATGCAGATTATGTAATAAAGTACTAAGAAAGGAAATGGGAGGCGCGCTCGTAGCGTGCGCTGTGCGTTAGTCTAAATAGTAAAAAGGAGATGTAACACTAAGAAATTGCCTCATATCGTAAGCATTGTTGACTCTTTTCCGCGATGCTGATTAGTTGTCCCGAGTCTCAATCTCGATCTCGATACGACTTCGCTTCGCGGTTCGCTTTGAGTGAGTTTGACAGTGCGAAGTTATACACGTGTTGAAGTTGTTAGTCGCTATAAGAAGATATAGAAACAAGGATAAAGAAGGAGCGGTAAAGAAAAAGAGGTATATATTTTATTTCAAATAATAAATTTATTATAATAAATTTATGGCTGTCTCGCGCGAGCAGTTATAATTGCAGTTATGTACGCGTATTTGACAGTTTGTCGTGTGAAACACAGAGAAAAAGGTTTGAGAGAGAGAGAGAGAGAGAGAGAGAGAGAGAGAGAG